TTCATGACATGGCGTGACCGCTAGCCAATGTCTTCGCTGGCGAGTATTTGTCCTCACACCCAACCCGCTGCACCCTACTGGTCACGACTTCCCACTGGAACCCAGGTAACTACCTACCTGAATAGGGCCGGTCGCGAGCTCGTATACCATTAAGCTCGCCTTGTAAACGGAAGGGCCTGAGTTCGAATCCCGGTGGATGCGTATTGATGAAGAGTCCCAAACTAAGACGAAACAGCTGTCCAGTACTCCCTGTGGCAGGTTTTCCAATGGTTCTCTAACTAATGTCAGCTCATGATTAAATCCTGAAAACAATCAAATCCCTACAAACCAACACTTGAATCCCATGTATTTGTTGTCACATAGATAATATTACTATGTTTAAATGAAATTAAGATTTTTGGAGAGTGTGTATATATATATAATAAGAAATTCAGTAAATTTTACACTAAACCTTGTCCAATATAATTTGTGGAACACCGGAAATCTTACTCAACCTTTTCAGCTTACATGTTAAGAAAAAAATTTACTGCTGTTATCGAATGTCACTTTGTTCATTTGAGCAGACTTCTTATGTTATTCAGTGTGTAATTGAGGTCATTCGAGTAAATGTCCAAACAGATGATTTGCGTAATCAGTTCTGCTCATCAGAATTGCTGCTTCTACCTTATCGTGTTAAATGACCATTAGGGAATTTTATTTCATATCCTGAAGAGAAGAATATCCAGGTCTTTAATGAAGACCTTCCCTGCAGCAACACTAAGAGTGACATTCTCGCCTCTTCCCTTTCGGGTTCCACTCGAGAAATGGCCTGATGCGCGCGCGATGTCACCAACCGACCTCCTCAACGAGTGTCCAATCCATCACCATCCACTTTCTCCTGCATATTTGTTAGTTGGCGATTGGTTTTGTTGTTTTGTTTGTTCCCATAGTTTCTTGTTGTTGGTGATTCTTTCCAGCCCGGCCTGGCCATCTGATCTTCAGTATAGAGCGAAGACAGTTATTAATAAAGGTCTGCAACCTTTTGGAGCTATTCTTTGTGGCCCGTCCGCCAAGTTTCTGATCCGTATAGAAGAGCTGACCGACTTGACGTGTTTGTATTGAAAATCTGACCGAATTTTGTCGTTGATGTTGAGTGACGAAGATCTCCAGATTGGTTGTTTCAGGTTGATGAATGAATGTGTTTCTCGCCCCCCTCCCTCGATTCTCGATTTGATATCCTCTTCCGTTCCGACTTCCTGTAGTTGAAACAATGCTCCCTAGATAAATAGTGAATGAAGTGACCTCTTTCAAATCCCTCCCATTGATCGTGATTGACGTTGGATTTTGCTACTGTTGTTGTTGGCTGTTTATTTTCATAACCTCCGTCTTGTCTATGTTCACCTGGAGTCCTGTCTTCGCCGGCTGCTTCTTCGATCAATTTGTCGGTTTTCGCTTGCATGTCTTCGATTGTGTGTGACATCAAACATAAATCATCGCTGCGCGAAATCCAGGTCTTCTAGGTTCCTCACGTCGGTCAGTCCAGGATATCCCTGTCTTCTCGTTTCCCACACTGTCTGACGCATAATCCAGTCGGTCCACTACAATCAGGAATATCATCGGTGATAATAAGCACCCTTGTCTGACTCCTGTGTTTACTCCAAACGCCTCACTGAGTTTTCCGTTGTGGATCACTTGACATATGCCGTTGTCGTACAGCTGTTGAATAAGGTTGATGAATATTTGGGGCACGCCATAGTACTCGAGTAGTTTCCAAATTACTTCACGGTCAACGCTGTCGAAGGCCTTCTCGAAGTCTATAAAGTTGAGGTAGAGGTTTGATCGCCATTTTGTGCCTTGTTCGATGATGATGCGTAGAGTTGCAATTTGGTCAGTACATGATTTGCCTTTCCTTAATCCAGCTTGTTCTGGTCGGAGTTCTGTCTTCAGTGCGTCCTTTATTCTCTCCAGGATGATGCGACTCAGGATTTTACTTGGCGTCGACAGAAGCATGATTCTTCGCCAGTTCTTGCAGAGTGAGCCCAAGTCGCCCTTCTTTGGTAGTTTCACGAGGTAACATTCCCTTCATTCAGTAGGCACCTTTCCCTCCTTCCAGACCTTTTGCAATAATGGAGTCAGCATATCTGCTGTAGTCTCTGGGTCCGCTTTCAGTGCTTCAGGGGTATTCCATCTGGTCCAACTGCTTTTCCAGCTTTCAGAAGCTTGATTGCATTCAAGACTTCAGCTCTCGTTGGAGGATTGGTGTCAACTTGCAGTTGTGTGCGCGCTGTTGTTGGTATTTCTGGACGGGTTGCAGGTGATGGTCGGTTCAAGAGTCCTTTGAAGTGATCCGCCCATTGTTTAATCTGTTTTTCTTCCTTGGTAATTGGGTTCCCTTGGCTGTCTTTTATAGGTTTCGCTTGTGTTGATCTCTTCCCGGATAGAGATTTGGTTATCTGATATAGTGTCCTCAGGTCCCTTTTGCCTGCTGCCTTTTCAGCTTCAGTAGCTAGATTGTCGTAGAATCGTCTTTTGTCCTTCCTAGCACTTTTCTTCACTTCTTTGTCCAATGCTTTGTAAGTTGAGCTCATCGTCTCCTTCTCCTGTCCGTCCTTGCATTGAATCATTTTCTCTTTCACCATTCTCCTCTCCTCTATTAGCCTTTAAGTGTCCGTTGAGAGCCATTCCTTGTCTTGTCTCTTCTTTCTTCCTAGAACCGTTGAACACGTTTCGTTGAGAATCGCCTTCAGAGAGTTCCAATGGTCTTCCACGCATGATTCTTCAGTGATGTCACGTAGTGTTTCCTGCTTTGCTTTGACAGTTGCAGTGAAAGTGTCTTTTGTGGTTTTGTCCTTCAGTTTCTGAGTGTTGAACTTGCATTGTGGCCTATCCCCAGCTATCCTCGAGGCTTTTAGTTTCACCTTGAAAGTCCCTTCAACTAGATAGTGGTCTGAACCCACATCTGCTCCTCTCCTTGACCTTGTGTCCAGTAGGCTCCGTCTCCACTTTCTTGAGATTGAAATGAAGTCTATCTGGTTTTTGGTTTTTCCATCTGGTGAAATCCATGTCGCCTTGTGTATATCCTTGTGTTTGAACACGCTGCCACCAATCACCAAATCATTGAAGGCGCAGAAGTCTGAGAAGAGTTCACCATTGTCGTTCATTTCACCGAGGGCCTGACGACCGATGGTGAGTTCTCTTCCTGTGTTGTCTCCTCCCAGCTTCGCATTCATATCATCCATCAGGATTTTGATATCGCCATTTGGGACGTTGTCCACTATTGTTTGTAGTTGTCTGTAGAAAGCCTCCTTCTTCTCTTGTTCTGAGGCGTTTGTAGGCGCATAGCATCGGATGATTGTCACCTCCCTTCGTTTTGAGCTGAACTTGGCTGTCATTATCCTGGAGGAGATTGGTTCCCACTGCATGAAAGCTTTGGCTGCTGTTGGTGACATCATGATGGCCACTCCCTCGGTGTGCTCGTGATTGTCTTCTGGATGACCGAAAAAGATTA